CCGTCGGAAGCCATGTTGTCGAGAAGAAATGCAATGTTGCGCCTCTAAGTGACTGATAATGTGCTTCGCCACTAATTTCTCTAACACTTTACATGCTACACATGTCAAACTCACGGGCCGATAGTTTACCGGGGCATGCTTATCACCACCTTTGAACAAGGAAACAACCAGCGCCTTCTTCCAGTCCGATGGTAATCGGCCAGTCCGGATCATACAGCCTGGATCATACAATATCACGCGCTCTACCTATCTATAATTATAAGTTGCTGGTTTGAGAATCTATTGCAAAACAGCTTGTCTCACCTATCGGATTTTAATTTCGAAGATTTCTGTAAACTTTCAGAAACTGAGTCTCATTCGAAAGAAAATCTGATCACCATGTCTTTCTTTTGATGATGAGCAATCGGGTCAAGCAATTTGGCTATGGTCCTGATTATCATTATTAGTTTACCGAATCCAAATGTGTAAATATAAATAAATTTTTTCAAATATCTGTGGCCCGTGGAAAAATATCACATGACGACATTTAGTCACTTATCTCAAAAATTACTTGCTGCTCTTCAAACTTCATCTTCACATAACATCGTAAATCTAACTGGTCATCCACACACTGGAGTGCATAGCCCCCATTAAAATCCACTGGTATGAAAAAATCCCAGCTGTTTTGGTTTCGCTTCAAATATTTTTTACTCTCCATTCAACCAGCCGAAAATATGTGATGTATATTTTTGTGCTTCTTGAACCATTTTTCCTTGACTTAATTCAAGCGTGAATTGAATGTTCAGCTTTTTAGTTGCTCTGTTAAGATGGGCTTTTGCTTTTGAACAACCATGTTTTTTTTCTGCTCTCTATTTCTAATTAGTCAGTAGTTTCTGCTAGAACAGTTTATTTATTCCCTATTGCAATTCCTTGACTTTATAGTGGCTCTAGGAGCTTGATTTAGTAGAAACTTTGAAGTGATTCATTAATTATAAATACTCAATGTGATCGTGACTATCTGGAATTTGAAATCCTTTTCTTGATTAACCCACCACTTACATTTTGTTCTTCGACACTAGGCAGAGCACATGTAGAATACGCATTGAGTTTGAATTACTTTCTGGCGAGAACCATGTCCGTTTGTCCGCTCTCCATTATTTTACCCACATCAAAATCTCCGTCTCAGCTTGTCAGTGTTTTGGTTTCTAGCACTATGAAGAAGAACCAATGGCAACAACTTTACCAAGTGTTGTTTCTATGTATCTATATTCAATAGGAGCAAAACTTGTTCTTTTCGCCTTTCTTTAGATCATTTAATTCTAAAGTATAACCATATGTATGTAAAGTAAATGATATAATCCATCGTTTATGTGAATTATGATGATCCTGATATGTGGTGAGCGTGGAGTCATTCCATTCGGAATCAAGAAAGCAGGTGAAGTGAGAAACTGGCAGCAAGGCAAATTAACGAGTGATAAATTGATAAAATTTTGCATTGCGCAACCTATAGAAGAAGCGCTTCGTTTAGCATTTGCCAGTTAACAACAAAATGAAATGGGAAATTGTGATAAGTGTAGGTTCAATTGCGTTTCAACGGAAATTAACAAACGAACATTTAGCTTAGAATAGCCACTGTGTCTTTGAACAGGATTGTATAACTGGGGCCATCACTCAATCATTTGACTTGGAATATATGCTTTGTTCCTAAGCGGATTGAGNATTGAGCGTAGCGGCAAAAATCTTTTGAAGCGGTGTTTTTTAACTTGCTGTCGACTATACAACTGGCTAGTGAGTCTCCTAATTGTATTTTTGTCTGCATGGGAATAGATGAGATGATAAATAGATTCCCTCGCTGCGTTTTGAACACCTGTCCCCATTACGAAGAGAAACGTTTACCAGCTGCCTTCCGAAAACGTTATGGGTGGTCTCTATGTGCTTGGATCACTTGGAATGTAATTATTATTGCTTCACTAGGCAGCTGTGTAGGTCCCCGATGAATCGTAAATGTTTCTACCGTTGGTCATCAAGGTTTCATACAAAATAAGAGTATTTCTGCATATGATTAACAGTGGCATAATTAGTACAGTATGACAGAATTCCAGTGAGAGAACACCAAAAGGAGAGGAAATGCTAACTTCCTTTTGGACTTCGTTTCAGTGAACCCAATTATACAAGCTGAATAATCAAGCAGCCTCGAACTATTGTTAAAGTGATTATAAACTTCAAGTAGCACCGTTTGACAGGCCTCGCCATTGATTATATCTGGAGACGTATTTGGGAAGTTATCAGTAAAGAGAAAAAAATAAACGTTTTTGGCTGTCTCGCGGGAATACTACGATTTTCAATCAGTAACTGTTAAAAACTATTATCAGGACATGAAGCGGTTTGCATTTGGCAATTCGCAGTGATATGCAATCAAACAAATGGACATATATAATCATGCTGTACCTTGCGAGGTCCGTCAATCCGATTGGTCATATTAGCCCATGTGATTGATAAAATGGACGTGGCTTCAAACGGTTGATCACTCGGATAAGATAGGTGAATTAGCCGATGTAAACGTCCAATTTGTTTGGCATTCATACAGCCAATAAGAGACGAGTTTTTCGGATCGGATTCCCTAAATTCAAAGAAAATGGTCGTGAAAACAACTGTGACACATTATTACGAACAATTTTGGTTGAAAATTTGTATATAACCCGTTGAAGGTTCAATACAATACCATAAAATAGAACAATCATCATTAAAATGAAGCAATCAAATTAGGAACACCCAATCGCGATTTATTAATTAGTAGGGGAAAGGCTATAAACCGACTCCGTAAAAGATCGATACTGAGAAGCGTGAACCCCCCTCCGTTAATAAAGCACAAGTTCACTTTTACACGGAGAGAAGATAATTCTTGAAAACTCGGTCATTTGGAAAGCAATGAAAAAATATAAGATAAAAGAAAGGAATAATGAGCGTTGCACTGAACTGCGGCATAGATTTAGCAAGAACTTTTATCTAAGAAACTTGCAACTAATTTCAAAGACTTGGATTATATAAGGGTCATCCATCGAACACAGTTTAATATCACTAACAACGGCTGAGCGTCAGTACACAAGATCTACCGGAACCTCAGACCGCGTGGCCAGAAGAAAACCAAGAACAGTAACTCAAAACACCTCATTATCACGCATAGTAGTCATGGCCGTTAATTTTCTGTTCATCTGCGTCTAGGTGGTTTATCAGATCAGTGAAAGAAACAGCCTACAGATCGGACTATCCAACAGAGATAACGCAGATTCATAGTTCGTGCAATTCAAATATTCAGTTTTCTTTCCTTGACCAATCCTAATGACAGGAGGATAGAGTTACCTCGAAGGATTTACCTGGGCTTAGCCTTTCAGAAACTTTTGGTTCTTGTCTCATTCGGAGAAAGAAATATAGCAAATGATTTTTTTATTGACACCTTATTATTCGGATGTTTTACCGGTAATAATGAAGAAGGCAGAGAACAGCTAGTCAGGAGATTCAGTATAACTGATTCAAATAACGTCATCATTTCACAGAGAAAGGATCCTTAAGTCACCGTTTGAGCCAAAACGTTTTTTTCGGAGAGATAAGAATTGACCTGTGGCCACTGATGACTTAGGGATTTTTATATTTAGCATCTGCAGATGGATGACCACCTCCCATTGCCTAACTGCTGCTCTTTGTGGTATCCGAAAATAGATGTGGCTGTTCACAATATTACCTGTCCATCTTCAGCCTTCAAGTCTAATCGAGTAGATAGTTATTCAACCACAGGGTATACCATTATGCTATCCTAAAAAGCGTTGGATTACGTTTTACACAAAAACTAGAGACAATAATATCGAGTAAAGTTGATTCAGAGAACCTCAGTATTTTCCTAATAATCTACACTTCTGAAATGTGATGTGCACAGTTTGATTATCTTAAACACAGTATACATACAGTAAAATTGTTAGGATTGATTCAAATGTGTTCAATTTTAGCCACAAAGGTCCACATCTTCGTGAGTCAGTCCCAATCTCAAAAATCGATTTTGAACTCCGGATGGAAGTATTCAGATACCAAATGTATCATCCATAACATTATATAGTAGTAGCTTGATAGAGTTCATTATCATGTCAAATCAAGTACAAATGAAGAGGTTTAAGGTATAAGTTCAACTGCGCAAGATCTCTGTCTGATGTGATGATTGTTGAAACAATGGTAAGAACCATTGTTTATTTTTCGTTGCAAACATCTGTACGAATACATCAAAATTTGGTTTTGAACTCAAGGAGCACGAATGAACCACTCACGGGAAACAAAGGAAAGCTAAGACAAGCATAAAGGTGATAAAGTCAAAAAGATCTATGAACCAACAGAACATGATAATCTATCTTTTTAGATCATCTCTCAAAAGTACAGGCTAATAACTGATCGATATGAACTCACCGCACAGTAATTATTCCACTAGAACCGTCATTGACTGAACTGAATACACTCAGATAGCGACCTTCCAGATGCTGTAATCGCTCGCCGCTGCTCAAAGTGTTATTCGGATAATCCAACGGCAAACTGCCCACCGACAAATCATCTAGGGCAATCAATCCATTTTTAAATATCTGCCATTTGGGGTGGGATATGGTTCAGTTGGAATCAAAACAAGATATATTAAATGCCTCATTGACGGCGAATGAAAAATACTGAATTTTGCGTTTTAAATATCTATTACGTCAGTTCCGAAAGGTAAGATAAATGAGAAAAAAGCAAGAAGTTGATGACATGGGCTGCCTTGCTTACTGTACAATATTATTCTCAACAGAAAAATCCTCATTAGTGTTCAATTATTTTGCTAATCGAATGGCATACTTGACTAAAGTGGTCTATTAAACCAAATCACACAAGCAGTCATCAGCTTTGTACAAAGCATAACAAACCGCGTAGAACATTGTTTCTCTACCCTGCCTTGAACGATCCAGGTGTTGCAGCCTACCCAGTAAACAGGCGTTTTATTACAAATCCGTACCGAACTGCCACTTGGGAGAACATTGACGGTAAAACAAAAACAAATCTGCTTTTGATCAAGAGATTGAAGAGAATCTGGAAATGCGATACCAAAATCCTAGATCAATTAACACCAATCGATTAAATGAAATTTGGCCTGATTAAATCGCACAACCACGTGAAATTTATGTTATGATCGTACGGTGTGCTGAAAATTTTGTTGACCCAATAAAATGATTTATTGTGATCTGTTGTTTTCCATCTTAGATTTTTAGCAGGAGATCGGGCAGTTTTTATGAACTACAACGAAATAATGAGACAAAATGTTACTGAAAGTACTCATCTGATTTACAATTTTATACATTTTTGGTATTTACTCAAACTATTGGCACTTACTTCACCTACAAATGACATAAAACTCATCCAGGGGACGTTGTTTATCAGCTTCTTTCCTGGAGTTTATCTTGAAATCACTATCGTGAATCTATGTTAGACATGGTGCTGTTAAAGATATTGAGAATCATGCTTAAAAACAAAATATTTAATTCGAATAAACATTCAACCGATGGAACACTGAAATATTTCAATAAAATTCTACTTCCAATACCACTATTATTACTAATACGTCACCACCATTCCTATCAAAAAGACCACTGCAACAAAGCAACTACTATGACTACTACTAGTAATTTGACTGTGAGTTTTCACTTTAACATAACAGTTAAAGAGTTCCATGATCACTAAAAATACCGATTTATATGATAGACGAAATAACTAATCCGATATATACTGCTCACATTTTGTGCGAATCGATCTGAGGTTTAGTGTCAGAATGTCATGCTTGGACCTATTCGCTTCATCGGATATCTCCAACGAAATCGGAGAGTAAAACGCACTGCCAGCCCCAAATTTTCTGTTGCGTCCTGCATCAAAATGAACACTAGTTCCATATCCAGGTACACCTTTCCGAAACGAAAGAGGTGTTTGAAACAATTTCATGCCATCAGGGCGCTGAACGAAGTTAAACCATAATGGTTAGTGGTCATAGTCACTCGGTGCAAGCAACGTTCATACTGACAGTGCCTATTTTTCGAGTGTGCAATGTTCCACTAACAAACAAGGATCACATTTAAACCCGAATCTTTTGAAATGACCCAACAGAGAATGGAAAATCATTTTGGGTGAAAAAATGTCTTGCTTGGTGGAATCCCCACAAAACTGGCCAAAATTTACGTGAGTCAAAATATATTTTTAAGTGGACGGAATCAAGGTGGCAGTCTTGTGAATACTCTTCTTTCCGTATTCATGCCTGTGTCGTGCCTGCCTTCGTTTTAATCACTCTTGAGTGTGTGCAGAAGTAGAACAACGTGAAATTGAACGAGTTTATCTCACGCACAAACTTACAAGTGCCCGGTAAAATTGAAATAACCGTATCTCTAAAACACCATAAACAAATAGGTTGCTTGTTATCTGGTTTAACCCATAAACGCGTTTCGCGTCCCAGTTTCATGATCAGTTCTACCAAAAAAACAGACAAATAATCACAAGATTCGTAGAAGAAAATACCCGACCGTATTCCAATTCGGACTCGTTCTGGGGCTTGCCACCCTCTAAGTATATTTGATCAAAATTAGTTCCATTCAGGAAAATCCACGCACAAATTTGAAGCTCTGTTTCACTTGGACGGTACCAGAACTTTATAAAAGCAAATGTGTTATCCATGAATATGTCACCATAAGACGGGTAAGCGAAACTGTTTCATAATTTCAACATTCCGTGGTAAAGGTTTACTAATAATTGTCGGTGATTCATAGCTGTAGTGCAAAATGGAAAGTGTCCCTCTGCATCAAGGTCAACCTTGAAACCCATATCATGAAGAGGCGGTCGTTTAACGTTTAATTTTATATTGATAATGAAGCGAGGAAAATATTTGTTCCACGATTAAAAGTAAATCATTTGCATTATTGTATCATCACGCCACGTTCAATAGTGAACTTATAAATTAGATTGTTTCAGTAAACATGCAGTTTTTTTTACAGAAAAAAGGTGTTTGGCAAAGATACATTATGCCAGTTTCGTTCAGATTAGTACAAACAGGGTTTACAACTATTTGATTAAGTGACAACTAGCCCAAACGCACACTTCGTCTCTTGTATATATATATATTATATAGATTGATTATTTTGTTTTAATTTGTCTCTTATGTGCTGATCATATAACCAGGGGTTCGATTTTACAAACAATATAACGCAGAAGTATGATGTGTAGCTTCTATCCTGAATGCGTTTATCTGTGTTCTGTCCCTGATAATATTTTCCAGTATCTCACCTGCATCACGCAGTTCGATCAAGGTTACCGTATCAATAATATGTACCGTTGTCAAACAGAGGGAGCAAGAGTCGTTATCGTGGGCAGAGTTCCGTATTACAAAGGAGAAAAACTTAAACTCTTTGTATTGCGTAGCAATCTCCCGTAAAAGGAGAATAGTTACGACACTAAAAAGAAATAAACGAAATTGCTGTTCCCGGGTTTCTCAAACGTGTAACAGTGCACTAGTGACGGCTTGGGAATACTTTTTCGTTAAGGACTCTCCCAAAGCAAGCCCGGGTGTTTTCATTTCCGATCACGAAGAAATTTGCAGCATCTGTCTGCACTATTAGATAATGCTATTTACATCAAAAGTTTATCATAGAACAGCGATCCACACCTGAGTACAAATTGAGATCGCGGTCTACTTTCTCACGAGAAAAACCGAGTTGACCATCGTGGATCAATGTTGATTCGGTATGTGGAAAACGTCAGGCAAAAGTATACTCGCCGATAATTTTTGTTCGCCTAAATTCGGTATTAGATTTTCTCGTTAGCAGTTTAGCCAAGGATTTTAATGTTTGCTCTACATGCAGAATTTCATCGCTGCATCTACATATTTAAATTGTATCCACGGTTACTTTATTCAAGTTTCTAATAGGTTATGGATCTTTGGTTATAGTGCCGGTACCTCACCTAAAGTTTTGCTACGGTAAACGGACCAAGTTTGCCCGTGTGGCAAAGAAAATATTATTCCCAAAAATAAGCTAAACAGCTTCAACACGCAAATTGAGAGCCTTACTATGACCGATCTCTTACATAATAAAACCCCTTCGATCTAGGTTATATGAACTAATCCATGAAACTATTTTGGCCGTTTAGTGTTGCAATTGGCCGATGCCATGCAAAAGGTAGTTCTGCCAGGCATGTACTTCCAGCAGAAAGAAACAATAAAAATGAACATGTATCGGTCATTGATGTAAATTTTGCGCACAACAACTTTTCCTTGGATGAAACACAATGAACACAATGATTTATCACAACATTGAGCAAAACAATCCATGAACCGGAATACGGAGCGGTGACAGTGCGCGACTGTTAAGTTTGTACGTCTCAAATGTCCCACTTTCCTACCTCGGTCAAACAAAGCGGTAAAAGATGGCTTGTTACGAGCGGTTAATTTGTATCCGTGTTTGCGGACATTTTTGTTGTGCGACTTGAATGGAAGTTACTGAGACAACTTTAACAAAGTAAAACTTGGTGAACAACATATGGAAGATACTGGTCACCGAGAGAATTGAAGAACAGAAGGCAAATCTAGTTCAGTTGTTTAAACCACCTCGTACTGTAAGACTATAACACTATAGGAGAAAAGCTACACTTGCGTTAGAGTTCCGGACAAAGATATTTCTTGTCAGACTGATAGATCACTCAAAATATCTTATTGTTAAACAATGTGACCATAAACCTCCAGTTTTGCATCAACAGCAGATAAAATAAGCATTGTGCGATTTGTTTTAAGTGTCACAGGAAATAAGCCCTAAAGAAGCGTTAAATACAAAGAGCAAGATGATATTTCTATTCCCAAATGCAGGTAATTAGTTTGAATGCTCACAGGTGACAGCAATAGTGAGATTCCAATAAGCATTTTCTTCTCAGTTGCGTTTTAGGATAACGACAGCAATCAGAAAGAAATCCATGCGGACTTCATGTGTACTTACCACACTGAGCAAGACCGCCTTTAGTTTTCATAAACAACCGGAAAAAGCAGTCTGTTCTTGAAGGAGCTTCTGCTCCTCCCCGATAGAGAGCACCAAGGCAGGTAATAATTCGAATACAGATGCCTACCCAGCAGCCCACGGCGAGAGAAAAAACAGGCTTCCAAATAGCTCATTGAGAATGATAAATTCATCGCCCTTAAGAAGCATCTTTAGACTGTTTTACAATTCCACACCCTCCAACCAAAGCACAGGAGATTGGAGAATGCAGCGGTTACAGATATTCAGAGAAGGCTGCTTTTATTACGTAGTCCATGATTTTAGGATACTCTTCAGACACAAAACCTTTATCGACTGCATTCTTGTCCCTAGAAAGCAAATTTATGCAATTTATTTCTGTATCTGTGTGATATTAGGCCAGTCACATACACGCTAATCCGGAGCATGCGTGTACAGCTGCTTTCAAATGACGTTATCCAAACCAAGTGTTTAAGAGTAAAGCTTAGTTTGATCATAATAACAGAACAATAAAATACACAAAATACAAGGGGGGGGTACTAAACTTGCTAAACTTGAATTATACCGTTTCAAACTTGTACAATTTGTACAACAAAATAACACAAATCTGTGAAATGAGTGTGATAACCGGAATTCAAAACTCATTGTCTACTTTGAATTATCGAAGAAAAGTTGGAAAAACTAGCTAAATACATGGTTATATGTTTTTCCGCTCACTTTTTCGATAAATCTTGTTCTTTAAATGTGCCAATGAGTTTTACCGCGTGTAGCAGTAAAATTTAATTTGTGTGAGAGTAAATGCTAATTTCATCGACAGATATCACCGGAACATATTTATTTTCATTGAAACAAGTCCGATCATGTCTTAGCATTGCACCTGGACCCAGAAGCACAGTTAACGGTATCGGCTCGGTTCACCTGGTCATTCTGTAGTAACTGAATGTCGTGAAATGTGGAAAACCGGAGGCGATCCACTTGCGGTTACACATACACGCAGCTGAATATATTCATAAACTACGTGTACGAATAACCAATCTGACAGAAAAGGTTCCGTTTTTAGATTATATCCACAAAGACACCACGAATAAAGTCACACACCTTTGCGTGTGCGTGTGCATGTGTCTATGTAGTAGATCAACTCCAATCCAAATCAACACGACAACCAGTCCCCTTCATACATCTGTCCCAGCTGTTCTAGGTAACATTGCCTCCCTCCGTCGAGGATACGAGACAAAATTTACAATCACCAAACCCCTCTATGGATAAGAAAAATCTCAAAACAAACCAACAAACAAACATTCCAGTTGGTTTGATGTCTGATGACCGACAATAAAAGGACGTAGGATGTCAACCTGGAGAAATCTACGTGGGTCCTATAAC